TTATTATTATTATTATTATTATTATTATTATTATTATTATTATTATTTGTTATGCAAATTTAATTTTTTTTTACACTCCAATATGCATGGATTTTCAAAATGTATTTTTTTCGCACAAGGAAGTATGCACACATACATAAATTTGATATAACAATATGTAGTTAATTACCTATGAATTTGAAAATAAAAATCTAAAATATAACTGCATATACAGTATTGCAGTGGTGGCACAGTTGTGGACATGGTTAATAAATTGGCAAAACTGGAACGCCGTATGCGAGAAGAGCATATTGCTTACATCATTCGTGAAGTATGTCGAGGAGCTATTGAGCTTAATAGAAATCACGTAATTCACAGAGATATAAGAGGAGATAATATTTTACTAACAAAGGACGGGAAAGTGAAGCTCTGCGATTTCGGTTTGTCACGAGAAGTAGATTCGACCCTTGGCAAGCGAGGCACATGCATCGGATCACCTTGCTGGATGGCACCGGAGGTTGTAACTGCAATGAGTGCAAGTAAGATATACATATGGAATTGTATTTATATGAAAATGTATAAACCACATACATATATGTTCATTGCTTTAATAGAGAAAGATACTATCTCACATCGTTGCTGAAATGCAAAAAAAGCCGTAACTAACTAAATTTTTTTATTGCGTAAAACGACGGGGAGACTTATAATTCGATTAAATGCATCATAATCAATCCAAAAGTGAATTTTGGATTTTTAGTTAGTTACAGCTTTTTTATTTCAGCGATAATATGAGGTAGGGCCTTCCTATATTAGGGTAACGATATGTGAATAGGGATGAAACGATACCATGCAGGTATCGATACTTTTACTTGGAAGTAGTATCGAAAAAAAGTATCGATGCCTGAAAAATATCGGCCCTAAAGTATCGATACCTACTCGTATCGGTACTCATTGTGTATTCCCTATTAAGTTAAATTAATTTTGTTTAATCACAACTTAATCATACTCTGGGAATTCTAAACTCCAAATAATAAAATTTAATAATGTGGGAACTGATATGTTTAATGATGAATGGAATTTACAAAGATACATATACATTGGAAAAGATTACAAGTTAATCTTATTTAAGAAAACATTTATCAATAAAATATTTCAGCGAAAAGTCTTATTTTGTTGCATTTCCCAAGAATAAAAGTTTTTCTAAATGCTTGCCAGTCAACCGATTCTTCACGTGGTTATTGTTGCTACTGCTTTCGAAAACAATTGTTCCCAAGGCACAGAACAACGAAGGAAACGAACTTTTCAGCTCCTCCCATTGTTCTAATGGGTTCGACTTCAGGGAGGATTCTGGGCTGGATAAAAAAAAATTATTTATTAAAAAAAAAAAATAAAAATTTTTAGAGGTCGAGCCAGTCGGTTTTTTTGTAAAAACGCTGATGTTTTAAATTTTTTTTGTTTTCTTAACATTTTATAGTGCAACTAAAAATGTTGTTTTTACGCGTAATTACTCAGGTATTATTGGGGAATATTCCCTTAATTACATACCTGTCTTGGACAGTTAGAATGGGCCTACTGCCCGAAAATATGCTTTCGAAAAGAGACTGCTATATAAAAACGTTGTTACTAAACGTTTTAAGTATTGCGATAGGTTCAAACTCGTTACCAGGGGATTTCTGAGGTCCCTGATTAGGCATCTGATGTCAGTTTTTCAAAATTCAAAATGGCGGATCTAAAGTGGCGATCAATTTGAAAAAAAAAAATGGCTGGATTGGTTCGAAACTAGGAACTCGGGAATTTTTGGGGTCGCTGGTTATGAATCTGAAGTCAATTTTTTTAATTTAAAATGACGGATCCAAGGCATATTCAACAAGGTAGAAGTGACAATTCAGTCGAGCTCTCTCATACCTGACTGTAATGTCAAAAAATGTAAACAAAGAAATTAACCCTTTGTTAAGCATTTACCATATTTGATAGAACTCAACATCTTTGAAATGAAAGTTTTTGTAAATATGAAAATAGTTCATTTCATTTTATTTATTGAATTTTCGGTTTAATGTAAATGTGGAAATGCATACTTACACAAAATTACACACTAAATGAAACACACTCATTTATAAAACCGTTTTGACAATCTTCTTGCTTTTACTATCCCAATGTTTTTGAGCATTTATTTTTATATTCAAATACTTAATTCTAAAGTATATTAGACAATAAAGAAAGTTTGATTCTTCTAAATTTGCATCAGAACTTAACTTCAATAATTTAGCTATTAAGTTTTTGCAATTAGAAATTTCCTTTCCATTAAATTTATTAAAAATTACTTTCAGTTTCTTTATGTCAATAAGGAATACTGGTATAGGTTTTATCAGACCACTATTTGAAATTTGGCCTATCCATGTATTTATATGAAAGGGAGATTTTCTTTTCATATTCGGTATGATAAATCCTGCACCTGGGACCAAACGCTGCGATAGGCCACAAATAAAGTCACGACCACACGTGAAGAGTCTTCTAATGAAACATCACAGCAATTTGCGCACCGTTGTCGCTTCACTTGACAATTCGAAGGTTTAAAATAACGCACAAGTTTGTTGTCCAGGTTCTTGACAAACGCAACGCACCGCTCGCAATTCCTTTTCATTTCATTATGTATTTAAAATCAGTCGCACAGCTCACAATTGAAAATTTATATTTAAAAAAAAGTTGAATAGTATAGGGTTAAGAGTTGACATTTCAGTCGCAGGTCAAAAGAGAGAAATGTCGAAATCACTTCTACCTTGTTATGCCTTGGACGGATCCCATTTGCTCTCAAATTTTTAAGAAATTCCAAAAATGAAAACGTTGATACTGAAAGTTTTAAGCATTGTCATGGGTTGAAACTTGTTACTAGTGGGTTAATTAATTAATTTATTTAAGATATTGATCGCCATATTGGATCCGCCGTTTTGAATAAAAAAATTTACTTTAGATTTGTAATCAGCGACCCCAAAACCTACCGAGTACCGAGTTTCGAACGAATCTACTAATTTTTTTTTTTTTTTAATTGATCGTCATATTGGTACCGCCATTTTGGCCATTCTGACTATTACATGTTACGAAAATAAAAAATTTAAAACATCAGCGTTTTTATAAAACCAACTAGCGCGACCTCCAAATTTTTTTTTTTCAAAATAAAAAAATACGTGACTCTATTTTCTCACAAATAACAATATTTTGATGTAGCGTGTACGAATTTCCAAAAATAGGGCTATTGAACCACTCTAATATATATATATATATATTTTCTACAGACTAAATTCAAAGATAGCGTTTACATTTTTTGGGCTTGGGATACGTTTAGTTTTTTAGTTTTTTCTAAGAACTTTTTTTATATCTTGAATCACCTCTTTGTCTTTATTTCTTTCCTTCAATAGCATAGCTATTTGCCCCTACTTTTATTATTGCCTGGTATTGTTTACAGCGCGAAGAATAATAGATAACTCTATTATTCTTCGCGCTGTAAACAATACCAATGACTTTTACATCGCGTTAAAACGTCTGTACTGAACATTCATCCACTTCATACTTCCACTCAAACAATTGGCCGTGTAAACGTTGCAAACCCTTGACTTTGGCGAAGCAATTGGATCGTGTATACTTTGCATTAAGTTTCCAAAAAGCACAGGGCGATTCGTATTAAGCATAAACGTAGAGGAACAATTTTCGGGGCAAAATTTACCTATTTTTCTTTCAAACTTTTTGAATGGCTTATAACCGAAGTTTTTTAAGTCAAACCCAGAATTTTCGTCCACAAATTGAAATACTTGGGGCATCGATCTAAACGTGTAAAATTAGGAAAAATTTAATTAAAAAATTGCATTGAGTTTTACATCAGCGCACTTCAAGATAACATACTTTCCATTCAAGTGGAAATAAAATTTAATTACATTTTTATGTATGTATTTCTCAGTTCAAATAAGCATTTTATTTAAGTGAGTTAAAATACGCAGCATCATGCCAAACGTGGTAGCATTTATTAAAACCAGTGCTGGTTTACTAGTAGAAAACTGATGGAAATTTCGCGGTCCAAAAATTTTTCTTCAGTAGAAATCAAAATTCTTATGAGCCTCCATGTTCATCTCGTCTGGGTCCAGTTCTTATAAATAATTTGTTTATGTGAAGAGCATAGGTCACTTAAATAAAAATTAAAACAAACTAAGTTTGAGTGGTAAAACCAAAAATTCTATAACTAAAATGACTGTCACTTGAATTAATCTAGTGAAACGCAGTCCAATTTAAAGACAGGTGAATAGGATGAAATTAAAAGAAATCTATATATTATTCTGAAACAAGGCGGTTATTCCCAGCAATCTACAAGTCGTACAGACAAATTATACATCAAATTAAAGTGCTCGATCTGAAACTTTGCAGATTTAAGATTAATTGAACCATTTTCGAAATATTTGCGTCGAAATATTTTAAAATTTTTACATTGAGCACAGCATTGCTACGTTCATTTCGACAGGCAGCGTCTCAGCGGGACATAAGAGAATGAAAAATTGTTCCATTTATTCCCTTTCGTTTCTGTTTTTGTTTCATATCGTTCAAAGCATTGCTACGTTGGTTTGCATGTAGGCAGCGATACAGCGGAAGATCTGCAAAGAAAATGTTCCCTTTGGCTCTGTACATATCGTCGTAAGCGGAATTTTGACGATTTTTATATCTAGATGCAGTTCCATATTTGAAACAAGGTCTTTCGATTGATGTTATCAGTTTTTAGATATCTCCTTTAGTTTCCGAGATATTTTCTACAATTTATTCGATAACCTAGTAAAAATTTGGTTAGTGATGCAGGCATATTAAACTAATTAATATCTTAAAAATCGCGTTCTCCATTTTTGGATATCTCCTTTAGTTTCCGAGATATTGAATAAAAAGTGTCGTTAATTTAGTAGAAATTTTGATCACGTTTTGTCGTATTTCATACAAATGCCCAATTGTGGATAAATGACGCTAACGACAAAATTTTACTCAAGAAAATCCTTCATATACTAATAACTATAACTAATTAACAATAAACATTAAAAATTAAAATTTGGAGGAAATCTATCTTCGCCTTTTTTGAGAAATTGCATTCCAAACTTTAATCGCGATTTCCCATAACCTGCCGAAATTAACATACGACAGTATTTTACCCAGGCGATATGTACATACACAATGTTGTTGCATATCCATACATTCATTCCAGTATTAACAACAACATCGCTACAGCGCTGTGCACTTTATTTTGATTTGAGCATTGTTATGTTCCATTTACAGTAAAACCCGCTTAAGTACCTCACGAAAAATGTCCGCTTTTTGAGGTACTAAGGCGGGTTGGGTACTTAAAAGAACCCGCTTAAGTACCTCGATGCGGGTACTTAAGCGAACATAATTATTCATGTAGTTACATCTTTTTGTTAACTTACATAAATATTTAAATCCTTCAATAAAACATGAACATTTAATGAAGTATACGGAGTTTAAAACCTAGACCGTACCATTATTTAAGA